ATATATACGATATTAAGTGTGATTTTTTATAAATAATAACAACAATTTCAATAGTGGAAAATTGTCGAACATTAGCGCCGCTGAAATTTTCTGTATGATAATAACAGGTCCACTACAATCATCGAGTATGTTTCTACGGTTCAGAAGTTAGTATCTACATGGTAAATTCGAGTCGTCGGAAGTTGTAATTTTTTTAGTTTAAAAACCTTCCAAAAAATTAGCACAAAGAGCACACCACAAAAAAGGCAAATTAATCGTTTAAAAGACCCCATGCGAAAGCAACAATTGTCATTTTTATTCGAAATGCAAACATGATCTGTTAGCAGTTTGTGCCGCTTGTTGTATTAGGTAACCAGTGAGCAACAAAATCGATGTGGAGACTTTTGAAGGTAAATTTTTAAACAATTGTTTCTCACTGATAGAAGATTTAATAATTAAATTATATATTATTTATCTAATTTTCGAATAATAGCAGTAATACTGTTACTGATAACTACATATATTATTTTGTATATGTATTATATATGAATATTAGAATGTTGCCCGAAGCTTTTCAAAAGCTTCAGGAAATCCGGCCAAATTCGAGGATGAACACTGAGCATTTTCGTCATGATAACGCACACGCACATCTAGTACGAGACAATGTCTCATTAAAGTACCTAAACATTCTGCGATAGCCCAAAAGTAGTTCCCTGCGACTACTATTTTTCCAATCATTATGGATCGGTTGAAACAGATCCTGAACTTTCAGTTGAACTCGCGGTGGGAAAATTATGAAACAATAAAATAGAAAACACAAAGAAATTTTTAAATGTTTTAAAGAACTTTTTGTTTTTTTTTGTCTGTTCAATTTTATTTTAGATTCTGAGCTTTTAATTGCTTGAAATCAGGCCTGTTTAGATCTCCCAGAATTTTTGATATTTGGTTTTACGTATGACTAAGTAAATAAACCGCGATTATTATTTTGAGAGTATAAAAACAAAAGCTGCGTTGCAAAATCTATCTGATGACCTATGTATAACGCTAACCATAATATGGATTGAATCTATGTGCTTGTGAATTCACTTGCATATATATATTGCACACGTAAAAAAAAATAATGCACATCGTAATTAGTAAGAATCCCACGAGAGTTGTACTCACAATTAACTACACATTCATCCACATACTTATATTGGCAATATTAATATTCCGTAATTTCTAACGTAAAATCAGAGTAGTAATTAATCATCGATGTAACTACTGCTCTAGAGTATCCCATAAATAATGATCCAAATATAAAAGTACCATGGAGGTATGGAGTATCAGAGCTTTCTGTATACAGTACATATTCTATGCAGAGATATAATTTATTTGAAATACAAATAAAAGATAAAAAATAGTTATTTTTATCTTGCATTTAAATACTTTTTTGACAAAAGCATTTTGTATTTTATTGAAAATACTTTTCCAAACGTATTTTAAGTATATTTGTAAAATATAAAATACATTTTTGCCTTTAAAAGTTTTGCTGGTATCACCGATCAAACATTA